TGTGTGTGTGTGTGTGTGTGTGTGTGTGTGTGTGTGTGTGTGTGTGTGTGTATACTTGCAATGCCAGCCCTAACACACAATCCCACTAACTTTCCTCGTTGAGTGTTTGTGGCGGTGGTTTAGCAATATTGATATTTCAGGTCTGTTTACATGCTCTGCAAGAGTCTACTCAATAGCCAACAAACACTGTAGAGCAGTAATACACATGCAAACGTACTTTTTGTGTGCATAGATCATCTCTACCCTCACCAACCCACAAACACACATGCACAGAAACAAAAAAACTGTCCATTGCTCAGGGGATCTGGGTGTTCCTGAAAAGGAGAACTGAGAGCAGGCTGGGTTATTTTAGTCATTAGAGTAGACAGACAGATATCTTAATGCGGAAAGAGTGTGAATGCTTCTGTGCAGTGATGGAAAGGCTGCTGAAGTGCACAGTTCAATGTCACATTTAGAAACTTTCTGATATCAGCAGGTAGTAAATTGTCTCCCAGTGTTATAGCTGTAGTATGTGTGTTTGTGTGTATGTGTGCAAGAGCATGTATACATATTAATGTATTGGTCAAAAAGGCCTGGGCACTGTTGCCATGGCGCCACGCTGCCCCCAAGTGTGTGTTTGTGTCTCACTTGTATGTTCATGTAGAACATTGTCACATCCTGCACACCATCTTTAATGTACAGTTTTTTAGAGTATATTTTGCAAACCTCTGTGGATTGTGTGCATTTTGTTGGCAGTAGGTTTGTGACTAATCTGTGGCACAATCCAGAGTTGACCTCTGGCCTGGGCTTCCTCCGCTCTGCGTACTCCTACTGACCGTCAGTATTTGAAGTGAGGGAGCTGTGACATCACAGCGTTGGACACACAATGGCAGCTGTGTGCTCTCACTGCGTCACAGATGCCCGCTTACCCCAGTGGATGCTAGGATGGCCCATGTGGGAGATCATGCTGCCTGGTAGCAGTGTGTCACTATATGATATGAGGAAGTGATATCCTACCAGTTTGAATGCATGTGATGTAGTGTATATATATATATATGCATATATATTATGTGTCATGGCTTTAGTCACTGCTAGAGGCTATATGATACGTGTTATGTAAACATTGTAGCCACCACATGAAGTGTCATAATGAGCAGAGTTGGGGATTCAAGCATTTGAAATTAAATTTGGCCATTAAATTAAATATAATCTTTATTTGAAAATACACTTTACCTAAAATGATGAATTAGGAATGTCTTTGTCCATACATAAAGCTGGACTTTAACAATGCCACATTAAGTGGAAATGTGCAGTAGAGTGGCACATTTCCACTTGATGTGGCATTGTTAAAGTCTATTTGAAACTCTATCTACAACCTGATATATTGTCCTAAACACTATGTGTCAGGGAGTGTTGTGAAGTGTTATAATGTGAGTCTGTGTAGTATGTTAACATTAGAGCCTGACTGACTGAATAACTGGGCGCTGAGGCAGATAACAAAATTCGGATACCAGATATTGGCATTGATCCGTAAAACTATATTATCAAACCCTTATGACAAAGAAAAGTAATTGAGGCCTGATATTTTACAGTTTAATTATAAAATATAAACTGTTGTGAATAAAAAGAAAACACAAATGCAACTAAAAATATATAGAACTTAAATTAAGAAAATAATGTATTTATTTTTCTTTATCTTTATTTGATTCTTTATTATTTCTTAATTTCTTTGTGTAAAATATCAACATCCAATTTTAATTAATTTTTTATGTCAGTAAATATGAACGTTGATACCGATATATCAGTGAAAGGCTCATATTGACCGAAATCGTTAATATCAGTAAATCATTTTGGCTCTCATTCGGGTTCTTAATGATCACATTAAATCCATCTAAACTCTTGGTCAATTGATACATTGATCTCTGGCTCTAATTACTATAGAAATGTGTTGTTCAGCATTTTTAAAGTAGCATTGTATACGTTTTATGGTCTTGAATTCAGCATGTAAAGCTACAAGAATTGCTCAGACCTGCACAGTTGAACTTTATTTAGCCAAAATACATTCTCTCAACGAACTTTACAGTCTGCAGCCTACAGGTCTATCCTTAGACCCTTGAAGCACAGAGCACACGTCCTTCTTTAGCTGGCATTCCTACCTTACCAACTGAGTTTGCAGATATAATCACCCCATTTGTTAGAATCTATGAATACACTGCAGCATTCCATGTACAGTATGTGTGTGAGCATTAAGCTCCTCCATGTTAGCAGTGGCTACAGAGGTTGCTCCACCAGCTTCAGTAGTTCTGACTGTCAGAAACACTGTTGTGTCTCAGCCTTTCCTTGAGGCCACATTTGAATTGTGTTGTGTTTCAATGTGTATCTCTGCATGGGTGTGTGTTTTTCATGTGGGCCATCCAATGGGCACAAAGCGGGCAGTGTGTGCCCCCTCGGCTGCTGAAATGTACACTTTGGACAACAGGCGGCTTCAGTCCTTCTCAATAGGAGCTGCCCTTCTTATTGTACCTCAAACACAATGAGCTTTTCTCTCTCTCTGTCTGTCTGTGTCGTTCTCTCTTTATGACCATATACAGACAGTGTTTCTGATGAGAGACTGGAGGAATCTGATTCTGACTGATGTCTCTGTCACTGATTTGCTGTCTCTCATCTCACAACAAATCAGCGGAGACATTAGAATAGAGTAGAAACTGTATACAAAGACGGACGTCGCGTCTCCGCTTCCTCCCGGTGGACAATAATGAATCTAAAATATTCTGGATACGGCACTGTCATCTTTCACTTTTGACATTATTTGGATTCAGAGTCTGCACAGTAGCCATCGTGGTGTGGAGCCCTGGAATTGAGGTCCTGACGATACACATGCCCGACCAATCGCGAGTCAGTCTCAGCTGTCAATCTTACCTTTCACCCCGTTTTTTATAGCATCAAATAACTAATTAAAATGAAACTTACTCGACACATGAGCACTTGAACATACATCAGTGTGATAGGAACTACCTAAAATGACAGAGACCGAACACTTTTTTTAGTTTGGCTAATATCCCATCCGCTAACAGATGGGATTTGTGATCAAGATGGTTTGACTTCGCTTTTGGGTAAGAAGTCATGTAGTCCATCTTTGAGTGGTTGAAACGGGCTCACCCATTGTGGGTCCAGATAAGCTTAGTCATGCAGGGTGTGAACACACAAGTCATTGCAGAAGAGGAACTGGGAGTCCTGGAGTTCCCAGTGTGTGTGTGTGTGTGTGTGTGTGTG